TGATGAGTGAGACAGCCATTGTGTGTGAGTTCTTTCATTGACTATTTCTTCCATATCGGAGTTAGGGACCGTCCGGGGCAACAGGAGGTCATACTCGTCTACGAACTCAGAGGTAACCCTGTAATCTAGACTCGATATCCTAGAGGGACCTTTCCAACACATTTTCGGTTCCCCCGTCGATCACTCCTTACCTTCCTTTGATGCGCATTGAATGTGGCTGATCTTCCCCAGTTGTCTAGAAGCTTCTTTGTTAAGTTAGGGTGACTACTGTATCACTGAATCCTCAGTATGCTGAACTGTTCTGTTGTTCTATTGACCGAGTCTATCGCTCTACTGCTTAGGTAAGGTCATCGCCGAGGCATGGTGATGAGTAACCCTAAAAACATCTGCTCGTCATACTTACAGAGTAAATTCCATCACTGTTGTTTGCGCCGCGCTCCCTCACTCACTAGGTCAACTATTATAGTTTATTTACTTGTTTTCAGAAACAGCTACGAACAAACACCAAAAAGCTTTGGTGTCAAGCTGGGTACCTACGACTACAGAGACGATGACGAAGACGGTGAACAGTTGAGAGATGTGGTTGAAATCCATGTGCACCCTCAGTTCGGAAAACCTCATCCATTCTCTTACGATATCAGCCTCTTGAGGGTAAGTTAACCGAATGAACCATCAGGGCACTACAATCACCGAAACAATCCTGGAAATCTGTAGCGAACCTGCTCCTATTGCTGCCTGACGCCTTTGTGAAACGGGTTCTTCCCGTACCTACGCTGGCATTCTATTGGGTGAACTCTTGAGAATTATGATCATCTAGTGGAGGTATGTCCAAGTTGGACTGCTGGAAGTAGTCGTGACCAACATTCCGGGATCGGTTTAGACCCGCAAAGTAAACTAAGCTAAAGTGGTGGCATATGGGTTACGGGACTTAGCCCGAGATTTGAGACGAGTTCCGTTACGATAAGAAGGAAGAGTTCTTTCACTATGATGAAAGTTCAAAAGGAGGAAATGAGGGGTGAAGGGGAGGAATAGACACTGGCGGAGTCATTTCCGAGCCTGATCCGAAAGAGGAACGATAAAGTTGATGAGTCAGTGGTACACAGCTTCAGAATTGACCTTTCAGCTATCATCACCTGTCAACTTCACCGATCATATCCAACCAGTCTGTGTATCAAAGGCGATGATGACTATGAACGATAATCAGACTGGTTATGTCACTGGCTGGGGAGTAACCAGTGGTGAGTTTCCCAAGTCTAAAAATAATTATTCGATTCTTCTGTAGTAATAATGTTCAGAAGGTGGTACGGCATCAACTAAGCTTCGACAAGTCATTGTACCGTTTCTGAGCCCGAAAGAATGTGAAGCAGAATACAAAGGTGAAATCGATGAGACCATGACTTGTGCTGGTCGGAAAGGGATCGATAGCTGTCAGGTATCCACTTTTTGAAGTGTTTGTCTACCATTATGAACGATTGCTGTTGGAGATCTGTTACCATTTAGCTATCGATCAAGTTTCAGGGTGATTCCGGTGGTCCTCTCGTGGTAAAGCACAAAGACTCAAAGCGGTGGTACCAAGCAGGAATCGTCAGTTGGGGACATGGATGCGGTGAAGCCAAGCACGCTGGTACTGAAAATTACGGCTCCCCTTTAAAAATTCCGGCGTCACGTTTCAATGTTTGTAGAAATTGTTTTCCAGGTGTCTACTCCCGACCGGCGGCCAATTGCGATTTCATCGAGAAATACACCGGCAAAAGGATATGTATTGATTGATTCGATGAATTTTGGACTAATTTGTTCGTATTTCACATTTGCTACTTTGTTTAGTATGCTGCCCCGATGAGTTAGATATTTCTAGACACTTCTGACCTCGAAAGAGAGGAAAGAAAGAGCGATCTCAGAGCTCCAGAGTTAGGAGAAGTTCAAGATTCGTATGCTCAGCTGGAATACGCAGTGCTTATAAGTAGGTGTATCTGTATCCAAATTGTTCGGATGAGTTTTTGAAAAGGGATGTAGCTTTTTTGAAATTCAGGTTGAGGCCTACCGCGAGACATCATTTTTATAATGTTTCGTTATTTGTTTTCATTTTGTTCAGTGATTCATTTATTTCGGCCCACATCCAACTACTGCGTTGACGGGAACGAATATGCGAATTCGGGAAGATTGTAGTATACAGGGTGTCCCAAAATAATGGACCATAATAATGGCAATAGACTCTATGCCCATGTTTGTTTATATTAGAAGTAACAATAAGCTAGAATCGAATCTTGGAATATCCTCCATGGACACGGACACAGGCTTGAAGTCTGTTTTCGAACCCCACGATGCTGGACGTTGGTATCCCTCCTCCATCTCTTCCTAGTGACTACTTCTTGAGTCATGCTTTCAAGTGCTCCAAACTGGGACGGCAAACACGGCAGATTCTGTTCTAATCAGAGTCCATACGAGTACGGAGGAGTTAATTCAGTCAAGATCCGTCAAGAGCAGTAGGAGCAGCTCTTGGATAATGAAGTCAACCAGCTGGCGTCGGCACCACTCTCGAACGAGCTTGGCTTTTTTATAGAGTACCGTCTTTATGGAAGAGCCACGGGCTGTTTTAGAGAGTGGAGTCGGATCAATGTATTAGTAGTGCTCTTCAAAAACGAATGTCGTGTCAAACGAACATGTCGGATCTAGCGATGTCACGCCGATACCGACGAAACCAAAGGTGATTTACCATTGACCGTGACCCCCTCGTGAACCTTTTCTCGTCCTCGTTTTGTTTGTGACTGAGTGGTATTTTCGTGGAGCTCTCCTCGTCAGATAGAGTGATGGAGGGCACGTGTCTTTTCTCAGGTGGAGCAATTGAACTTATGCTGTAGGAAGTGAAGTGGCGATTCTACATGCAATGCTGGCATTGAGGCTTATTCTTGACAATCCTCTTCAACGAACTCGATATGTCCTTGCCAAACTTCTGATGATTAACTGAGGATCACGATCGACTTGGGGAAGGACTATTTCACTGGTATTGCAGCTGGAAACACTACTTTCTACGACTTCCAAGTTTGCGCGTTTTGTGGCCTTGCAAGTCTTAGTAACTATGCAAGAAAAGCTATCTGCGCAATTAATCAGTAACGAGTGAAGTGTAATTATTGGATAATTTTCCCTGAAGAATTTGAATTTCGGCGCTTACAATTATGGGGAACTCCAGTAGGTGTGGGAGAATAGGGACCTTAGACATTCAGCAATCCCGTTCCTGGATACGCCTCGCACTCGACTTCTATTCCGAATCGTAGTGGCTATTGCATTCATATGTTGCCTAACTTGCAGTGGCCAGCTGATGTACAAGTCAGTGTTTTTGCCCTCCCGGTCGGGTTTGGTACCCAATAATAAATCCCGGAAGGATGGAGGGCTAGGTAGGCCTGAGCAGTTTCAATCCGGCATCGATCCCCGGAGTGCGCCACTTGGCAGTGCACTACCCCTGCAACTACACATATCGAATACTCACGAGTGAGCTTGCCATCTGCCAGCATCTGTTTGAAATTCCTTTTGAACATGCCCTTTTGGGAGCAGGAAGCCTAGAACATCACAGCAACGTCGTTAACGTCAGATGACTCAGCTGACTGACTCAACACATTAAGTACATAACTTGATTAGTTCACTAGAGCCAAATGTAGTGGAGATTAAAAGGTTACCGTAATCCACGACATCTTTGATGCATCGAGTGACTTATGGTGGGTAATCGTCATTTCCTGCCGATCCACTTGAACGGCATACTTTGCTCCTGTTGATGTTTACCTTTTAGTTACAGGAAAACCAGTAATTGCTCCATTCGCATGCGTCATTCGTTTCTAATTACTGCTGAATATCTGGAGCTTTGCCCTCAATTACCGTTTGATATTTAGTCGCTCTTGCAGACACCCAATAAAAGCAGTCGTGGTTTTACGCTATATCATGTGTCTTTACAAAAGTCTACCTTATACTCAAGAAAGTGAATTCGATTGACCATCAAATCTCATGTTGGAATATGGTGGCAGTGGCACACTCCAACTCTTGTTTGATCCTGGAATCGTAGTCGGTATCGGTACACCCCGAGCCAACAAGCATTCCATTTATCCGAGCTCGGGTGATTGGTACCAAACTCGTCTAGGAGAATCAAAGCACTGACATACTTGTACATCGTATAGTGGTCACTACAATTCATAGCATCGGCCAAATACTCATTCTATAGGTCACCACGATTCTGAGTGGGACTGAATGCGGGGCGCATCCCTCGGGCAGGATTGATCAGCGCTCAAAAAACTCTAAGGACGAAACGCCATCCTAAATCTCCGCCTTCATCCAGTGTCCTCCTAGATCTACAAGAAGTCGAAGTAATCAGAGAGAAGACGAGCTGTGGAGGTGGTGGATATTTCAATGGCGAATACTGTGTGTACTTTCGATGCACTGTGACCGTTCAGGTCTGAGCTGCTTTTTGGTAGTGACCAAAAAAACATGAAAGCAGTTTAGAGTAAAATAAAGGTTTCCGTAAGAATGATTTCAGATGACTTAGCCCCGCATCGCCCATAGCGCCAGCTGGTTTGAGTTGGCTCTCATATGGGAACCAGTGAATCAGATGGTAATCTCTCACTACCTAGCGTTTTCCACAGCGAAATTGGTATTTTGGCTTGTTTTTGTGCTCACTTCTCCGAAGGGAGCCAACGGTTAAGTAGAAGTTTTTGTGTGCAACACATTAGCTGCTTTCGTTTTTTTTTTCGAACTAATTTCTTCCTCAATTCACGCCTTTCTAATGACTTCGACCTATACGGCAGAAGTAGTGGTAATTGTTTTCTATTTTCGGTCTTGTAACAAGAACTAATCTGTCTGTCGCTTTCTACTTTTCATTGTCTGGAAAAGCAGAGCAAACCTATATGAAGAAGCTAAAGCTTCGAACCTGCCCTGTTTAGGTCTGGCTTGTTCCACAAGGAATCCGTTCTCGTCACGAGATCTGGCCCTAACATGATGGAATTGGCTTCCCATTTGGGAGATATTCGTAGCTAGTATTAGCTCATAAATACTGTCATGCATAAAGCCTTCTATGGCTCCCTCACAAAATAGAAGCACTCTCATCTATAGCTGCAGTATGTCATGTCGTTTACAACTCATTGGGACATGGAAATCTGAAGTAAATAGATCTGGTTTGAAAGTATTCCCTCCAGTAGGTAAACGCATTTCAGATGGAACAAAAGCTGCCAAGCTGCAGCTATAAGTCCCATTGTCAGAACGCGGTGGTTCTGATCCTTTCGGTGAAGCAGTCTGAGTGGAAGGCTCTGTCAATTGTATTCAGTTCATGGCCGAAAACTGGCTAGGGAATTCCATACGAGCTGTTCTCAACGGTCAAGCTCCGGCGCTCGTAATTCTGGTAGTCAATAGCACTCTAGTCTTCTGATGGAGATGTGGCTTGTGAGAGCGGGGGTTGCATTTTGGAGACGAAATTTAGTGGATTTGGATCAATAAGTGAACGAAATTTCGTTGTCACTATTGACTTCAAGATCACCATCCCACAGAATTCAAGACCCTGACCGGAATGCTAATTGCTCCGGCACAGCCAGTGTGGAGGTGAAATTGCAAAGCTCATTCGAGTTCAAAAGTTGTAGGAGTTGACAAATTCAGTTGTAAGTCTACTATGAATAGTAAAAGTAGACTGGCTGAACGTTCCTTTTCTACCGTTTCCATGCATGGATGATAGATCAAGCAAAGTTCGATAGGTGGGCGACGGCAGACAGGCGAGAGTATTGGATTTCGACGTGGCACCGTTCGGAACGGCACTGTCTTCTTGCCGCCCACGTCGATGTCGGCGTTCTGCGTTGGGTACCGTTGGAGTTCTACCTGATAAAATAGGAAGGTAAGTCAGTAAGCTGAGTTTCTACTTTGATGTCTAAAAGATCTTTTTTTAGAAAGTGAAAATGAAGTCCGTTCTGCCGAGCTTGTGCATGGCACCTCCGCGACATGTGAAGTCTTGCCTGTAACAGCAGTGATTGGGGATCTATAGGACGCTATCGGAAGATCTCGATAGCGTCCTATAGATCCTCAATCATTGATATCATATGAAGTGATATCGAATTTTGGTTGCAGCCATCAGCTCAATGATCACAGGTCCGTCTTTTTAGTTCGTAGGTTATTTTCGATTGGTTGAATGCTCTGATTTGTTCATACGGCACCCTCTCAATGCCAAGTCAGAGCCTATTGGAGCTCAAGTTTCGTGGATCAAGGGAAGAGTAAAATCATCGTATATAGGTGTCACTCTACCCCTAAGAATTATTGGAAAACATCGAAGTTGTTCAAAAGCGTTGTCAAGGAGGTATATGGATGGATGGGATATTTTGGCGATAAAAGAGTTGGGCGGAACGCTGCCTGCGGGAGATCCTTCTCCATACAGAAACAATTTTTTCGAGAGGACTTTTTTTGCTGCTATCGAAACGACTTCAAGTATTGCGAGTGGGTGATATGCCTGCCTTGATACTTATCTTGGTTTTCCTTGAATTTTATCCTGAGAATTGGCAATCGTCGGTAATTCTGTATGCCGGAGATACAAAATTTCTCCTCCTGGGGGACGGCAGCATCTGGTTCCCAAGCTATTGGATTCAATCAGGAACGATCAGGAAAACTATGGATATTCAGCAGGGGATGCCCTGTATAGAAGAAACTGGCGTCGTCTACCACCAGAAGAGCGAGCCCTCTCGTACAACAGGCTCAAAGCCAGGACAAAGGAGGTAGTGTGAAGGCCAGCGAGGAGGACACCAAAGAATGTTGGACCCCTACATTCTGGTTGAAACGGTCGTTTCCTTGGAAAAGTCTCCATCCATCCTCCTTCTTCACTAATTGTATGGAAACAGCTTCGACTTTATATTAGCAGTCTATACATCTAATTGTAAGAAAAAATTTAGCACACGGCATCTTCACAAAGTATGTAAACAAGATATAACAACATGCAAACACATAAACACAGCCTATAGACAGGGTTTGATTAATATAAAGGCACTTAGCGTTTGCTCAGTCTGCAAATGTTGGACTTTTGGAGGAAATCTTTTTTGCTTTTTTTCTTGCTCTCCCGTTCTTATGTTGCATTTGGACTAGCAGAAGGGTACGAGGCGCATTATTGATGTTGTTAGTGCTTCAGTTTAACAAGAATGATATTCATAGCTCCCTTGATGGGATGAAAAGTTAATTTCCCGTAATCGGCTTAGACTATGCGTAAAATCGGTCAGCTTACGGTGAATCTAATAATAAGAACTGTAGTAGATTATTGTAGCTATGTATTACTACAGTACTTTTTACTACTTCAGTGCTAAAGAACAAAGGTTAGGAGGTAGAGGTGTGATCTAATCGGTTCGGCAGGTGTTAAACTCGCCTTTCATCTGGGGAACACTACGTAGGCAGACTTCCTTTAATAGACCACCTTGATCCCAATTAAGTGAAACGGCCATTGATTGCTTAGGAGTTAAGGACTGTGCCTACCGAATGGAAATAGGACTCGGTAGAGGTCTATGCCTGTGGGACGTTGTCAGGTGGTACTCCGTACCTTCTTGCCATTCCTTTTATTATTTTGTACTTGTTGATGACAGATGAAATAGCCGGATTGAGGTGGAAGAAAAAAGTAGTGCCCACCTGGGTCACCTATCAACTTTTACTTATATGCTTCTCGAATCGCAAGATCTAACACCGTTGAATAGGAAGGTAGTTGTCAACCCAGTTTTCCATTCTTCTTGGGGTCGGCTGTTTGGTGCCAAATTGGTCTGAAAGGATAATAACACCAACTCATGCATGGCCAACAAGGCGTCATGGGAAACGACTCCTTTATTACGATTTTCCGAAACTACCCAGTAACCCACGTCTCTCTACCGCCTCCCAAAACGTGGACTTGGGCCATAGGGGGAGAAAACGGTGGCGAGTAAAGCGGGGAGGAACTGTGTTATTGTCTGACCAGCTCATCACGTACTTGTGAGTGCTGATAAGCTAGGAATAGAAGGCACTCATGAGGCGGTTGCAAGTGGGGTCTTGGTAGCGTAAGGGATAAGAGCACGGTGCCCGGATAGCACGATCCCGTTCGAAGCCGACATTTCCCCCACAAAGCCTATTCTGTGAGACCTTATTAAAATCTTCCCAGTTGTGGCCCACTAGCCCAGGTTTGATCGTGCTCGTGCAGCGGTAGGTGGGCCCCAAATGTCATTGTGTAGAATGAACGCTCGCTCGCTTTGTGCTGCGATTACAAGGCAATCGTGCTTCATCCATCAACGCCTATATTTCGGAGCACAATGGAGAATCGCAAATCCTGCAGAAGCCTTTTTTCGGTCTTGTTCCCGTTGAGATCGCATTTCTTCTCTGGTTCTGCTTATATTTTTTCGGTGGCAATCACTGCCCCCTGATCCTTTATGTATTCCAAAGAGCAGCCTTCATAGCCTCTTGTTAAGTTTCCCTTCGAATAAGAGATTGATTTATCCCAAATGACACAAACTTAATGACTAACTAATTCGCTAGCAAAATTATTCACTCGAAGTCTCTCGTTAGAGTGATATTTGGTAGAGTGTGCCAATATTCGATTAACATCACCTTCCGGGCCGTTTTCGAGAGTAGGTGGAGCCTTCGCAGAGGGGTGGTCGTTGGGAGTGTAGCGTAGCACATAGCCAGCGCCGGTGCCGTTGTTAGAAGTCTTGTTCTTTCGAGCAGATTTCCCTTTTTAATTGACTCATGGTAAATGTGCTGTATGAAAGCTTTTCGGTCACTCTGGGATCTTATAGATGTTGAGGGCTATAAGTGGTCTGGATTGACGGTCGTTGTAGTACCTAGAAAAAGGGGAATGGGTAGCAGATTGTGTTCTGGAAGTCGCAGTTGAGCTTGTTGTTGGGCTGCGACTTTCAATACCTCTAATAAGCGAGCAGGATATTTGCTATCCACTATAAAATGAAGCCGTTTGTGTATTCGAGACGTCCTGTTCTCGAATGTCCATGCAATGGCTCACCGTACCTGTACCATGACCAGATCTAGAGCTAACCATAATATTAAAAAGACGTGCAGTCGATGGGCGAGTCAGCATTGTTCTTGAAGGGACATCCGCACTAGTTAATCGCCTCCGGACGGGTTTGAGACTCACCTGATTAAAGTTGGGTTAATTTGAACTGCTCCTGGGTGCATCTAATTATTGTCTTGTCAATTAAACTGTTCGTATTTGATGTTGGTTCTACTAAGTAGTCACGCTGAGACATCTTTGACGGTGAAACTCGTCCAAAAAGGGACCAATTCTGTCGCAAATCTTTTGTAGATCCAGCTATTTTTGCATGTTGTATACTACTAATTATCTTCTATTATTCTCTGCTTCTCTCAATTATGACATTAAGGATGAAATTAAGGAAAATGACGTCTTGTTTAGAGGCGAGTGCACTTTGCTTCACTCTGAAAGTATCTATGTAATCCACTATACGCTGGATCTTTCAATAGGATTAAATGATGAGTTGAATTGAGTGTCAGCTCCACAGATGACGAGGGACATCATTTCGTTGTACTGTAACCCAGGATCGCCAAAGGCGATCAAACCTTCATACTTATAGGGTAGGCCCTTCGTAATAAATTTGTGTATGTGTGTGTACATATGTGTGTTTTTGTATGTGTATGTGTATATACAGTAGCGGACAAAAGTCCTCGGTAAACTGCTTCTCCAATTGTAACTTTTTTCTTACCTCATATGAATGCTTACCGCTATGAACCTGCAGTAAGCTCTTTTGACGGTACATTGGTGAGATTCACTTCAATTTCAGTGAAAAATACAGATACCCTTGATCTAGGAAAAACCGCTTGATTTTGGTATTGCAACGTATGAGACCCCGAAAACCTCCAATTTGGTAGGAACGTTTCGGCTTTGAATGACAGCATCGCAACGAGAAGGCATCAGGTCGATTACTCTTCGAGGGTAGACACTGGCATAGCGTTCCACTCCTTTGCTTCATGAGCGAATTTTTCCTCATTGTTTCTACAAGACTGGTCGAAAAACGTCTCCTCGCATGTGCTCTATAGAATTCAGATAAGAGTGGCTCGGTCACTCCGGAAGTCTGGTTCGCTGTTCGCTGAACACAGCCTTCACAAGCGATGAGGTGTGTTTTGGATCGTTACCCTGCTGCAGGATCAATCCTGCTGGCATGTGATGCTGTGCCCACGGCAAGAATGTGTCGACCATCATGTTCTTGTAGTACTCCATGTAATCGTCCCGTCAATTTTCAAAAAAGGGGTTGACCCGTTTGAGGAAAAGGCACCGTATACCGTTACACTTCCTCCATGCTTGGTTGTGGGTAGGGTACACTTTGGATTGAACCTTTTTCCAGACAGACGTCGTTGCTTTCGTCTGTAAAAAGAACTCTATCGCTGTCAGTTGAAGTTCAATTGCGGTTACGGCGCGCAAACTCTACTATTTTTTAGACTGATGAACGGCTTTTTGGCTGAACCCTCCCCTCCCCCCATAATTACCAGCATTGTAAAGGCGTCTCCCTACTGTCCGCCGACAAAGACCGCCGACAGGTGCCATCGCTAGTGCTGAACTGAACGGCATGTCAGACGCCATAGCCCGAGGGTCAGCTTTCGATCGAGGTGTGATCCGTTTGTATTTGGTTGGTGAAGTACATCGGGGGCTTATCATTCTCTTGGCATTGTAAACAGAATCCCCGTCCTGACGTAGATGAATAATCAAAAGAATTGTCTGCTATAGACTTCTAAACCTTAAAATGACCGTGACTTCCATGCCCAATCCCTTCATTTCTACTGCTGCCTGCCGAACTCCCTGAGTGACTTCTTTCCTTCTATGCATGCCCTGGATGTACAGCCACTATCATCGCGCGAGCACGTACGAGCACTAATGCGATTCCAAAATGCAATTATCGCTAACCTTGCAATCAGGGAAAATCGCTTCAATAGTAAAACTTCTGAGCGTAGTGAAGAAGTGTAAACTAGTCTGGTTCAAGTTGAGATTTGACATGACAAGATAGATTCCTTCAATAGAAAAAAGTT